TGTGTGTAGTAGGAATCTAGATTGGAAGTTGTCAGAAATTAAATGGAAGGCATAAAAGTTCAATGTTCTCAGCATGAGTGAGTTGAAATGGGCTGGTATTGACCATCTTGAATCTGACAGTCACATGGCTGACTGTGCTGGGAATGGCATCACATTCATCATCATAAAGTACATTTCAAGATCCACCTTAAAGTATAACGCTGTCTGTGATACGGTAATATTCATATGGCTAAAGACTGGTTAATATCACAATTATATACATTTACACACCAACCACTACAGGCCAGTGATGATGAAATTCAAGAATTCTACCAACTTCTTCAGCCTGAAATTGATAAAACATGCAATCAAAATGTATTGATAATTACTGGTGATTGGAATGCAAAGGTTGGAAACAGAGAGAAAGGATCAGATGTTAGAAAATACGACCTTGGTGATAGAAACGATGCTGGAGATCGCATGATACAATTTTGCAAGACCAATGACTTCTTCACTAAAAAAAGGTATCTTTTTTTAAAGATGACTATAGCATGCATGGTGGAATGGGCAAAACGGGGGAAATAATGTTAAGATGCTTGGTTGTCTTTTGAATCTTGGTTTCCCTGGCCTACCATTGTAAAATAGACATTTGAAGGGGAGAGCCAGAAATAGCCAGAAATATCACCATAGAAAGCTTCTAAGTCTGTCTTTTGCCTATAACTGATTGGAATACCTAAAATGGGGATACAACATGTCCAGTGAAGGAGGCTTCCTGCGGAGCCTCGGCAATACATAAGATCATAGGTGGAATCCTGAACCCCATCCAGAATCTTTAGGTGGGAAATCTCCAATTGAAAGGACAAGCAGACCAGCCTGGAGCAGCAAGAAGAACAGAAGATACTTCTTGAAAGAAAGACAGACAGGGAAAATAAAAACCAGTAATGGCAGTCCAACTGACTACTACAAGAACAAACAAGTTGCTCGCCCAGGAATCATCAAGGCAAGTGGTTGGGTCCCCTCAGGGCAAACCCCTTCCAAGACTAAGACTAAAGGGGAATACACAAGCAGGCATGTGGTCTGACTGGTGACCACGTTGGTCACCGATAAGGAGAAGTGAGGGAAAAACAGCAACGAAGCTGTGAGCTAAGTCCAACCATGTTCAATAGACTCCTGTGAACCCAGGTGGAGACCTGGTTGGCCAGCAGTATGGCAAGACCTGGGGACTCTTGGGCCCAGAGTCAGTGACATAGCCACAGAGGACTAGAGTGGA